CCCACCTCCTTGAAAGGAGGTCGTCCATTTATCGCCATGAAATCTGCCAAAGAGTGCATGCATTCCTCAGTCACTTCGCCTTTCAATTTCTTCACCAAATCTAAAGCATATCCCATTGCATTCCTCCGAAGTTTCCCAGCGGTGGTCACGGCCATCGGAAAGGCGAAGGCATCGCCGTAATAACCATCCGGCAACGGAGGATTGAATTCAGCACGAGCATTCACAGCACAGATAATACGAACTTTATCATCATCATCAGGTTGCAGAGCTATAGTACGACACCGCCATAAGAACGCTGTGATGATTTCAAAATTAGAAGATTAACGAAGATGATAAGGGATTTGATTGCGAATTGAAGCAACTTCGTTGGGTCCAAAGAAGAAAGAACAATGAACCATGGCATCGAATGGGATGGTTACTGTTTCTTCAGTATTATTAGAGACATCTTCGTATTCACCATGCATGCATGTCACATGTGGCGGGTCTCTTGCAGTTAAAAGCTCACGATGCCAGACTGGTGGAGTCAAAGGCTGACGCGCACCAAGAGCAATTTGTCATAACGCGCTCATGAATTGAGCGAGGCCAGCTGCATCAGTCATAGTGTGGTTCATGCGTATGGCGAAAATAAAACCACCGCATTTCAAGCGCGTTACCTACGGATTTGTAGAGAGGTTTTAATATTTATTTTTATGAATGAATTTATTTTAAGGGAAGTTGTGTCAATAATAGAGAAAGACAGAATAAAATAACTTATTACTCTTTTAATTCTATTTATACAATATTTCCTCTATTCAAAAATATAAAGTATATTTTGAGAAGTTAGATATTCAAAAATATAATATATTTTTAATTTTTTAAAGTGTAATCATTATCTTTTTTTCAAAAGTGCCCCAATTGATAATAATTTTATATTTATTGTAAGGTATTTAATAAGAGTAAATATAAAAAAATAAGGTTAATTGAAAAGTAGGTAACTATTTTATTGGAGGTAAAATTCAATTAAAAATACCTTATATTTTTTAATGGAGGAAGTATTTCATTATTTTTATATTTATTTTTATATTCTTATTAAATAATAAAAAAATTATTAAAAGTAGTTCTTTTCATCTTTATCAAGATTAAATATTGAAATTTATTACATTTTAAAATAAAGTTAATAGAATTTAAGGTTATCCTTAATACTCATGAAATGATAAATGAGACCAAAAAGAGTAGTTTTCTTAAAAAATAAGTTAGAGATATTAGTTTAGACCATTAATGGAAATAGCTATTCCAATTAGAAATTGGGAGTTATGTTTAAAAAATTAATTATCTTATTTATAATTAAAATTCTTAAATTTACAATTGAATTAATATTTGTAAGTTATTATTTAAAAAACTTAATTGTAATAAATTATTTATTTTAACATTTTATTATCATTCTCTCTTATTTTTTTCGTACATAACAGTTAACCTAATTTTCGTGTAATTCATAACCATCACCAATATATTATCCAAAGTATACTTAAATGTACCTTTCTATTATAGGTTCCATGTTCACTATACCACTTTTGTTTTTAAAAAAAAAAAAACTCGAGAGCCCACATTTTGTTTTAAGAAAGAATGATAAATAAATCCTTTCAAAATAAAAAATAATTATTTAATCCCACAAAATGTGATAATGCCTTCTAAGTTTCAAGAGATCTAATTGTCATTAAAGTTTTGATAAAATAACAAAAATGCCTCTTAATTTAAAAAAGTGCAATAAAGTAACTTTTGTTCACAACTTTAGCTTTAAATTTTCCCTAACTCTAGTTCAGACATTAATAACTTTGTTTCACCATTTTTCTTCAATTAGTAAAGTACAATAAAGTTCTTTTCATTCACAAATTTCATTTTAAAATTCACATATCTAGTTCAATAAATAAATGACTATAGTGGTTTAGACATTTACAACATTTTCTCACCATTTTTCTTTACTCTTTTTAAATTATCAGATAGTTTTTCCATTTCATTAAAAATATTAATGATAAATAAATCCCTTAGGACTAAGAAGTCATTATCACATGTTACGGAATTAAATTGTCATTTTTTTATTTTAAAGAGATTTATTTGTCATTTGCTCTTCCTTCAACTTCTCCCAATTATATAAAAATAAAAATAAAAACTCAAAATAATTTTTTTAAAACAAATCTAACAGATATAAAGGCCCAAGAAAACATGACAGAGGGTCATCGCTCAAAAAATGTTCATAAAAAACAAACCTCACCAAACTTCAATATATATATATATATATATATAACAAAGATAAAGACTTTTTTTAGAAAATAAAAATAAAAATTGGAAAAATGGAAAGCGAAAATACCTGAATAATGAGAAGTGGAGTGCCAAGAATATTTGAAGTTCCCGGCACATCATAAAGAAGCTCTTCAAAACAAGGAAATGGAGGCTGAAGATCTCCAAATTCCTCCAGGCTGACATCAGCATCAGCTTCGATGAAAACAACGCCGTCGCCGTTACATTCCACCGTGAGCTTCCTATTAGGCCCTTCCCGGAGCCTGCCGGCGAAGGGATAGTAGAGCACCAGAGTCTCGGCCAAAGCTTTTCTGATCACCTCAACTGGATCTCGTCCTCTCATCGAATGATTGTTCCGATAGAACTGGATCCCTGGCAGTTGGAACCGGAGGCTCCCTTGGTCGTCGATGTCGGACAAATACTTCACCTCTCGCGGTGTTGCCTTTGCCGGAGCCACCATCTCCGGCTGATGCCGGCGAACTGTGAACGAAAGAGCTGATGGTGGTGCCATTATGGAATATAGATATCAATTATGAGTTGCTTTGCTGAAGAGCATGAGTTTATATATAATAACTAACCATGCATAAGCTAGAATACAAGCTTCATGTCGAAATTAAAATATTTAAATAAAATACTATGTACGGATTAATAATTATTCCAACTAATGTCCTTTGAAATTTGAATCAGTCGCGTTTTGCTAGTCAGGCTAGGATTAAACGAGTTGTAATAAAAAATTAGTACTATACATACAACATACAGAAATTAAATAATAAATAAAATACATACACGATGTCTTTCATATTTATTTTAACTGAAAAAGATATATACAAATTATAAGTCATTTTTTCTCAGCCAATTTTGATTCAAAATATAACAAGTTTAGTATTTTAAAAAATTATTTTTTCTTCTTTTATCCTTATATTTATTAACCTGCTTCATTATATAGTATAAAAATTTAGTACCTCATTAATCTATTGGTCATCAGCTTTATATCATTTTAACTTTCCCACGTTATTGACATAACTTCTCACTATTTAATTTAATTTATCATTGGTAGTTGTGGCTAAGAATAAAAAGGAAAAACCACAAACAAAACTAAATTTTATTAGTGTACAGATGATATGTATATATATAGTTGAAAGTTGCTTATAATTTGACTGGGGAGAGTAAATATTAATGATAAATACAAAAAAGAAAGCTACTTTTAGAGTTATATAATGACAATGTTAATTTTAAAAAGAAAAAATCTAAAAAAATAATTAAATCTTCTTTTCTTTTTTTATGGAACAGAATCTTCTTATTTTGGAAAAGCAGCTAAGAAAGCTGTGAAAAAAGTTGAAATATTTTTTATGGGAGGATTTTCATGGAACTATAATGTCCAAACCAAATTGAATAAATAAATAAATAATTGCAGCCTACCAAAAAAAAAAAGAAATATTGCATATATAAATAACAAGAGTTCCTATCAACTTTGAATGTCAACGGCTGCTACGTTCTTTTTTTTTAAAAAAAAAAACAATCAGAGGAAAGATTCCATCAAAACCAAGAGAGGATGCAAAATTAAATCAAAAGTTCAAACATAGCGGCCAATAAAGTCATAAGCCATCAGGGAAACAGCAAATACACAGAGAAGAACACAAATTAAATGTTTTTAGAAAAAATTAATTCATAGGTTCTTATTATATTTTTTTTCAGTTTTAAATTATGTCCCTGTAATCTATTTTATTTTAATTGAATCCTTATATTTTAATCTATTATATATGTTAATTCCTAACGATTAAAACTATTAATAAATGTTTAATTCTTTCAAAACAAAAACACTTTTGATATTTATAGAAAATTTTATTTAATACTTTTAACAGAACAGAAAGAAGAAAATTTAATTTAATACAAGGTCCACATTTTTTTACTCATTTTCTTATGAGAATTTTGTATGTATTCAAATTATTTAAAAAACATAATTTAATTATATAAAACCTTCATTTAAAAATTGATTTAATTTAATGCAATGTATATCTCTTTATCCAAAAACATTGGTTAAAAAACCAAAACCATTTCTTATTTGTCTTTTTTTTTTCTGTTGGATATTTATCAAAGTTTCAATGAGAGATTTTCACTAAAAATATATTTTTCACTCGAATTTTTACACTTGTTTTGGATGGAAAGAAAATTAGAGGGAAAAGAAAACTATGAGGGAGAACTTTTAAAAATAGTAAAAAATTTTACTATATATTTTTGAATGTTTTCCCACCTAGTTTTCCTCTTCATCCCTAGTTTTCTCTTATTTTTCCTCCATCCAAACCAACTCTTAGTATTGTTAAAAGCTAAAACTTAAAACCTGAAAAAGTCATCCCTTAAAAAAAGAAAAAATTATAACTAAATCTCACACAAAAAACTTAATTACTGTAATATCTATTAATAACTGAACTAAACTGCATTGATAACTGAATGCATTTTTAATAGAGTTTAGTTTAGTTGTTAATGAATTTTACAATAATTAATTTTTTTATATGGGATTTCAGTGTAATTATCCAAAAAAAAGAGCCTAAATTAGTTATAACATGAGTAAAACGAGAAAGCATCATCATCATTGAACAGTGGCAATATCCATTAATTTTCTTTCAATGTAGCAGCACAAAATTTCAATACACATACTGCATGCTCCATACAAAATGATTTTCTTCCGTGCTTGTAAACTCTTACAAATTAAATGATTTAAACATTAATTAAGCATTTTGGCCCCCACAAAAAAAAACATTAATTAAGCACCCCATCCAAAATGGACTATTGAAGTCGAAGAAACTGCAACACAATATAAATTAAAGAGACAGTGCTCATTCCTCATGGCATGTTTGATTTTTTTTTTTTTTATTGTTTCACGTGCCTCAACCCTAAAAAGTAAACTTGGCCTTACATTCAGAGTTCAGACATATACATATATACTATTACCAAAAGAATCCACTTATAAGGAAGAAGTGATCAATCTTGTTTTGAGCATTCTATCTAACTCCTTCACAAATCTCTCCATGGCTTCACCAGGTAAACATAAAGGTATCACTAAACCTTCTTGTCCTTGAGCATTCTTAAAAGGCATGTAAAAGCTCGCCACCTTGACTGCTCTCGCCGGACCACCATACACAGCCTTTCCCCACCCGAAATCAACATCGCGGAATCCGGCTCGTGTCGCGTCCGACACCAAGTACGATCCCACCTCCTTGAAAGGAGGCCGTCCATTTATCGCCATGAAATCTGCCAAAGAGTGCATGTATTCCTCAGTCATATCACCTTTCACTTTCTTCACCAACTCTAAAGCATATCCCAATGGGCTCCTCCGGAGTTTCCCGGCGGTGGTTACTGCCATCGGAAAGGCGAAGGCATTGCCGTAATAACCGTCCGGCAACGGAGGGTTGAATTTGGCACGAGCATTCACAGCACAGATAATACGGACTTTATCATCATCGTTAGGTTGCAGAGCTACAGTACGACACCGCCATAAGAACGCAGTGATGATTTCAAAATTAGAAGATTGAAGAAGATGATAAGGGATTTGATTGCGAATTGAAGCAACTTCATTGGGTCCAAAGAAGAAAGAACGATGAACCATTGTATCGAATGGGATGATTACGGTTTCTTCAGTACCAGAGACATCTTCGTACTCACCATGCATGCATGTTACATGTGGTGGGTCTCTTGCCGTTAAAAGCTCACGATGCCAGACCGGCGGAGTCAGAGGCCGATGCGCACCGCGAGCAATTTCTCCTAACGCGCTCATAAATTGTGCTAGGCCAGCAGCGTCACTCATAGTGTGGTTCAAGCGTAGAGCGAAAATAAAACCACCGCATTTCAAGCGCGTTACCTACAGATTTAGAGAGTACGTCAAGATTTATTTATTAAAAAATTATCATTTTAATAATCCTTTAATCCTTTTTATAAATATCTCTATCAATCTCATTAATATTAAATTAAAAAATATAAAAAATAAAAATGTGTAATATTTTAAATATATTTATATATAATAAATTTAAAAAGTAATATCATATTATTTTTTTCTCTCATAAAAAATAATTTTAAAAATATTTTTTAAATATTATTTAAAAAGCTGCATTATATCTTTTAAATGAAATCGAATAAATTTTTTAAAATATGACTTATAAATGAAACTAAAAAGAGTATATGGGAAGTTGTATCAACCACTAACAAAGAAGGATCGTATAAGCAGAAGGATGATGACACTATTTTATTTTCTTGAATAATAAGTCAACCTAAATTACAGGGAATTCATATCCGTGATCCGTCGTCAATTAGTATATTGTCAAAAGATAATGTAACTTTTTAGTCCATTGCATTTAGGGATTTATTCACTTTGTTTTTTAAATTTAATTTTTATTATTTTTAATGTAATTTTGATCATTTCAATTCTTAATATTTTATAAATGTATCTAAGTATTTCATGATTTCATAAGCGAAATTAATACACCATTGAATTATAATGGCATGACTAACGTTAAATTAATACCATTAATGATGTGGGAAGCAAGAATATTGATTTAGATCGGGCAGGAATAAAAAAAAAGCAACATATTTAGGACAAAGTCACATAGATTAAATTAACAATTATTAAAAAAGGGAGTGATTAGGATTAAGAGATTTTATTTATGTGTATTAATTATTTCACATCAACAACCTAATTTAAATGTCAGCATTATGAAGAGTTAATTTGTCTTACAAAACTTAAAGAACCAACTTACAATAAAAGCAAACGTTAAAAATTAAAATAATATAAATTAAACTAGAATGATTGAATTGATAACTCCCATAAATTTAAAGGACTCAAAGTTGCACTAGTCATTTTATTTTTCTCAAATAGTTTTTTTTTCAAATATTAATTTACATAGAAAAAAATTCTACATAAATTATATTTTACTTGTGTTAATTTTTAATATGTACAAGGTAATAAATTGTAAAATAAAATGAATTTTTGTTATATTTTAAGTATGCATAATGACAAAAAATTAAGTTAGAAAATATATTGTTTATTTTTTTAATATGCATGAGGTAACAAATTAAAATAAAACATGTCATTTAGATTTAAGTTTGAATGGGATAAAATATTTCAAATAAAATAAAATTGTATTTATATTTTTTATATTTACTGGGATAAACAATCTTAAAATAAATAGAAGTGGTTATTTATTTGTACAGGGTAATAAATTCTAAACTGTACTAAACATGTTTAAATTTTAATTTATGTGGGATCAACTATGCATTTTTTTCATAGACTCTTTTTTAATTATAAATGAATTATAATGATGATATTGTGTCTTTAGTAGTTAATGCAGGCAAGAACCATCTCCTAACACCATTAGTAAGTCAAATTTAATGCCACATTATAGATGAGTTATGGAGAGTAACTTTATTTCTAAAACTTGAGGAATAAACACATTAAATGGTATATAGAAACTTGAAAGATTAATTTTAAAAGACTAAATGATTAATTTTAAAAAATATCCATTAAATTGTACACCTATTTTTATTTAGTCTGTATAGATTTTGTATAAGTCTTTCACCTATTTTCATTTCTTTTACCATAAACCCCACATTATTTCAACATCTCCCAACTAAACAAAAATAGGAATGAAAACTGAATAAAATATGAAAAAATTATAGCTAGCCCCTTCTCAAGAGAATTAATCATAAATAAAAATTAATAGAGAACGAATTGTTTTTAAAACGGAAACATGACTTTTTTTTTTTAAATGAAATTTATTGTTAGTTATTGTTTGTGATAAATTTTTTGGAAGGGGTCTAAATATGATTCTCTCAAAATATTTTTTTGTTTTAAAATAACAAGCATAAAGTGGGGAAAGCTTGATGGAAGTCACCTTTCAAAAAACTCTTCATAAATAATAAACTTCGCCAAACTTCAACGTGTGAGAGAGAGAGAGAGAGAGAGAGAGAGAGAAAAGAATATAGATAAAGACGTTTATTTAAAAAATAAAAAACCTGAATAAGGAGAAGTGGGGTGTCAAGAATATCTGAAGTTCCAGGCACATCGTAAAGAAGCTCTTCAAAGCATGGAAATGGAGGCTGAAGATCTCCAAATTCCTCCAGGGTGACGTCAGCATCAGCTTCGATGAAAACGACGCCGTCGCCGTTACAGTCCACCATGAGCTTTCGGTTAGGCCCTTCCTGGAGCCTGCCGGCGAAGGGATAGTAGAACACCAGAGTCTCGGCCAAAGCTTTTCTGATCACCTCAACTGGATCTCGTCCTCTCATCGAAGGATTGTTCCGATAGAACTGGATCACCGGAATTTGGAACCGAAGGCTCCCTTGGTCGTCGATGTCTGACAAATTCTTCACCTCACGCGGTGTCGCCTTTGCAGGAGCCACCATCTCCGGCTGACGCCGACGAACTTTGAACAAAAGAGCTGATGGTGGTGCCATTATGGAATATGGATATAAATTATGAATTGGTTGTTTGCCAAAGAGCATATATATATATAGAAGTAACTATAACTAAAATCTAAAATACAACTTGCAAGCTCTACGTTGATTAGAAAAAATAAAAAAAAAGGAAAATAAAAGGGCAGGTCCTTTGAAGTTTGAATCAGTCGCGTTTTACTAGTCAGACTAGGGTTATTAAACGAGTTGTAATTAAAACTTAGTACTATAATTTTAATGAATGTATTAGCATATACATACAACATAAAGACAATAATAATTACATATATACTATGTCTTTCATATTTATGTTAATTGAAAATTGATAAATATTAATGATGAATACAAAAAAGTAGGCCACTTTAGAGTTATGTAATGTTAAAAAGCCAAAAAATAAATAAATAAATAAATAGATTTACTCATTTTGGAAAAACAGCAAAGAAAGCTGTAAAAAAAATTGCATGCGTAACAGTAGTTCCTATCAACTTTGAAGTTTGAATGTCAACGGCTGCAACATTCTTCTTCTTCTTCTATTAAAACTAAGAGAGGAATATGCAAATCAAAAGTTCAAACATAACGGCTAACAAAGTCGTAAACCAGCAGGCAAAAACACAAAGAAGTCAACCAACGGACTATTCGGTAAAAAAAAAAAAACGACCCAGCAAAAATAGAAATAGATACAGGATTATTTTTTTTTTTTGGAATATAATTACAAAGCCACGAGTCAACCGTGTGGGAAATAGGAATATAATTGAGTAAAATACACATACTTTCATTGGTGGGACATGTAAAATTTTATTGTCAAAATTATATTATCATGGTTAGGTAAGCGAGTTTGTTAATAGATTGGTTGGCTTCCCTGAATGCATGCATGGTTCAGAGTGATGGTCTAAATGCAGAAGAAAATTTAATCTTTTTCATTTGATGTTGTTGGTAATTAGGGGATGATTAATCTAAGCGTGCTTATTTCTGAATGAGGTTGATAACTTTCATTGAATCGCAGAAAAACAATGACTTGAGTTAACTTTTCATCAGATCAAAGGTTGATACTGTCAAGGATATTTACTGTCAAAAAAATTCAGATATGGTATGTGTTTGGGTTAATATTCAAGGTATTGCATGAAAGCTTCGATCCACTTTTGGCACCCATTATGAACAAGGCCTTGTCACGGCTCCATTTTAATACACTGATCATCAATGTCCAATCTAAGTACTGGATTAATTCTGATAGCCAAGAAATTACCTCAGCAAACCTTTTGAAACTAAACATAAAATGATATTCTTTTTATAAAATATTTATAAAAAAATATACATACTTTTTAATCTTAAATAAAGGCACCTAAAAATAGAAGATTAGGCCTGGATGTGACAGAAGTGTGAACACCCGAGTCTCGAGTCTCGCCTAGGCTGCCATGTTCAGAACCCGCCGCCAACTACTATTAGTCAAGTTAATATATGATAATTAATTAATCATCTTCGCACATTTTATGTATGGACTATGGAGCTGAAACATTGGACTCGGCTTTGCTACTCTAAGAAGAGGCTTTGCTGCACCAATCCAAAATATGAATGGTTCATATTAGGTCTAGGGATGGTTTAGATTTGAAGTTTTATGTTTCATTTTTATCAAAAAATAAAAGGTTGTAAAAATTATAAAAAAATTAATAAATCTTATTACCAATCTGAACAATCTAAATTTAATATTATTAGTCCAAATTTAATATTTAAATTTTTTATAATTTTTATAAATTGACTATTCAGATATACTTTAGATGTAAAATATTTAACTTATAATTTTTTAAAAAATGTTTGTTAGTAGATATTTGCAATGTTAAAAGAATATTTGGATAGTCAATTTATAAAAATTTTAATATTAAGTTTGATAAAATATTTTTTATGACAAAGTTAATTTGTGACATTCTAATATTCCCTTCATCCCAATTTATGAACAATTTTAGATAAAATCACATGTCTCAATAAAACTTGTTAAATGCACTTTATAATTTTTTTTAAAATAAAAATATAAACTTCTTAAAATGTCCTTCATTTAATACTCTATTTGTGAAAGAATATTACAAAGAGAGAATATATTGACAAGGATAATATTAAACAAGTATCATTAATGAAATTTTGTTTTTGTAAAAGTGTCTTATATTTTAGGATACCAATTTTTTTTTCAAAATGTATCTTATAATTTTGGATTTTAGTAATAATTTTGACATTTAAAAGATGATATTGTTCTAATAAATAATTTAGGATAATTAATACTTCTCACGAATTAATTCAGAAGCAAAAATACCTTTTAACCCAAAATAAAAAAAAAAAGCAAAAGATGTGCACCACCGATCTAACAATATCCATATCAATTCTAGGGGCTTATGGAGAACACTCCCTCAGGCCCTATTTATAAATTAAATTTTAAAAAATTTATTTGATCTCATTTATAAGTTATGATGTGGCTTTTTATATAATATTTAAAATATATTTTTAAAATTACCCTTCATGAGAGAAAAAAAGTAAAATAATCTCATTTTTTAAATTTATTATATAAAAGTATATTTAAAATTATACATACTTTTATTCCTTATACTTTTTTTATATTAATATTAATGTAATTAATATAAATGATTTATAAAGAGAATCGCATGAGTATATTTTTAGATAGAGTTTGTACAAACACGTTGATATTATAGAGTTCATAATATCAAAGTCATCATCACTTCCCATCATAATAGCATGCTTAAGGTTAACATTACTTAATTTTAAGGGAAAGATCAAAATTAAAAATTTGACTAAGTTCTTCTCTTTGAAGCTTTCCACCATCTCCTTAAGGCTCGCTTCCAGGGGAATAAACTCAATCCCCAAGGTCCTTCCGTCCATTGCTTTTTCTTTGGAAACCTGATGCACGGGCGTGAAGGCCTTATCGTCCTCACAGTCAAATCAAACTGACGAACGTCGTTGCTCTTGTTTCAACAAAATGAATATGGGAATGGTCAGAGTCTTAGCACGGTTATTAGCTCCAATCTCCATGATGAACATCATGGAGGTTCAAGCCGGTAATTTTATTGGGTTCAATTCAAGATAGTCTTATTTGAATTATACTTGAAATATTCAAACCTATAAAAAATGATTAAATTCGATCATAATACTTAAATTTTAAGTTTATTCAGGTTAGTCCAAATATATGAAACTTTTTAATTTTTTTAGATCAATTTCAATTTTTAACTTAAAAAGTAATTTTTTAAAGCAACGTAACCACAAACAACACACCCTACAAGAGTAAAATGCACAAGATATAAATCATAAAAATTAAATCAATGTTAATCAAGACTTGCAAATCTCTGAGTTCAAATTCATCCCTGAGGCACTCCCATATCTGAGCATATTTGGCGTCTTTCCAAGCAATATCTGATACCTGGAAACCATTCAAATAATATATAGCCTTGAACAATTTACAATGCAAGTAAAATTACTCTAAAGGAGACAACTCAAAGAGTAAAATTATCTCCAACACGCCTCTCGGAGATTCCTCCTCCTCGCACGTCTCTCCTCTCCCTGCCTTCCCTCTTGATTCCATTCTCTCTCCGCGCGCTCTCTCTCTCTCTCTCTCTCCCCCTCTCTCTCGCCCTCGGTTCCTGGAGAGTCACTCTCTTCCCACTCCGACAAAGGTAACAGGATAAGATTATATCATAATGTTTGCCTTTTCATTTGAAAACTTCGGGTTTGCTTTTTTACAACTACTCCTTCAACGCTTTTGAACTGCGCAATCTAAAACGATATATAAAGAACAGACATGAGAAACAATCAGAGCCTGTAAGATTATCTGAAGTCTGAATCCAGCTGCCAGCGTTGAGCGAGAAAGAAAGGAGGACGAACATGGAAGACCGAAGATTGAATGAAGAAGACAAAGGACGAAGGTGGAAGAAGACTGAGCGTGACTGTGAGTATCAAGCGTCGCCGTTTTCGGAGCAGAGAAGACGGTCGCCGTTTTCGGAGCAGAGAAGACGGTCGCCGTTGCCGTTGAGAAGGGAGGAGGAGAACACGGACGAGAAGGAAGGCGAGAGGCAGAGGCGCACTCGCAGAGCCGAGAGGGTTTTGCTTTCAGGGGTTTGGTCTTTGGAGTTTGGACTCTGGACGCGTGCGAGACCGAGAGCAGGAAGAAAGAAAGAGCAGGTGAATTCATTTTTCTATTAAAAAAATAAATAAATTCGGGTATTGCATTTGAACTTGGTCTGTTTCTCAGATGCTAAGCTCGGCACTAACATTTTTTAGGTTTATTCAATTTGGTTAATCGAGCTTGATCGGAATTATCGCCTCTAAATCCATTAAATCTGTTGCACACCTATTATTTCTAGTCCTCGCGGAAAAAGAACCTACATATCATTTGTGATCTCAGGCCACCTCCATATATATATCATTCAGAAGACAAAGCATGTTGTGAAGAGGCAGAGGAAAGAGGGAGGAAGAAGATGGGAAGGAAGAAGAGTAACCAAGTCTTTTCAAACCGGAATATATTTGCAAATAAGGTCCTATAGAAACATATCAGAATTATTTGGGCCGTATCTGTGAACAATGTTTTTTAGGGCCTTGAATGCAAGTTTTTCTAATTTAATTTCAAAATTTTGACCACGGGATCTGTCCTTTTATTTTTATTTTTTTTAATTTTCTTTATCAACATGAAGCTTCACGCTTGTATTATTCTGTTTATGCATGGTTTCTTATATATATATATATATATTTTATGAACACATAGTTTATTATTATATATAAACGCATACTCTTCTCTTCTGCATAACAACCAATTCATAATTTATTTCTGTATTCCATAATGGCACCACCATCAGGTCTTTCGTTCATAGTTCGTCGGCGTCAGCCGGAGATGGTGGCTCCTGCAAAGGCCACACCGCACGAGGTGAAGAATTTGTCAGATATCGACGACCAAGGGAGCCTTCGGTCCCAAATTCCGGTGATCCAGTTCTATAGGAACAATCCTTCGATGAGAGGACGAGATCCAGTTGAGGTGATCAGAAAAGCTTTGGCCGAGACTCTGGTGTTCTACTATCCCTTCGCCGGCAGGCTCCGGGAAGGGCCTAACCAGAAGCTGATGGTGGACTGTAATGGCGATGGCGTCGTTTTCATCGAAGCTGATGCTGATGTCACCCTGGAGGAATTTGGAGATCTTCACCCTCCATTTCCTGGCCTTGAAGAGCTTCTTTACGATGTGCCTGGAACTTCAGATATTCTTGATACCCCACTTCTCCTTATTCAGGTTTTTTTTTTTTTTTGGCTTTTCCATTTCCAATTTTTATTTTTACTTTTAAACATACATCTTTATCTTTATTCTTTTTATTCTCTCTCTCTCTCTCTCTCTCTCTCACACACACACACATTGATGAAGTTTAGTGAAGTTTATTATTCTGAACAGTTTTTTGTGATCAGCTTCATGAACAGTTTTTTGAACGGTGACTTCCGTATTCATGCTTTTTCCCCCTTTTATGTTATTTTTTCAAAATATTTTTATTTTTTATTTTTATTTTTATATAGTTGGGAGATGTTGAAATAATGTGGGCTATGGTAAAAGAAAAGAAAATAGGTATAAGAATATTTATACAACAAATTACAAAATATATACAAACTATAAATAAAAGTAGGTGTACAATTTAGTGGATTTTTTTTTCAAAATTAATTATTTAGTCTCTAAAAATTAATTTTTCAAGTTTCTATCTACCACTTAATCTGTTTGTCCCTCAAATTTAAGAAACAAAGTTGGTCCCCATAACTCATCCATGTGGCATTAATCAAGTTTGAGTGTTTGTGTGTGTTTGACTAACGGTGTTAGAAGATGGTTATTTAGCATTCTTGTCGGCACAAGCTAGCAATTTAGTGGATTTTTTTTCAAAATTAATTATTTAGTCTCTAAAAATTAATTTTTCAAGTTTCTATCTACCACTTAATCTGTTTGTCCCTCAAATTTAAGAAACAAAGTTAGTCCCCAAAACTCATCCATGTGGCATTAATCAAGTTTGAGTATTTGTGTTTGTGTTTGACTAACGGTGTTAGAAGATGGTTATTTAGCATTCTTGTCGGCACAAGCTACGGAGGACACAATATTATAATTATAATTCATTTATAATAAAACAAGAAGTTTATTGAAGAAAAAAATGCATAGTTGATCCCACAGGTATTAAAATTTAAACATGTTTTAGTTTAGAATTCATTATCCCGTACACATATATAACCACTTCTTTTAGTTTAATATCTTTTACCCTTGTGTATATAAAGAATATAAATAAAACTTTATTTTATTTGAAAATATTTTATCCCATACAAATTTAAATCTAAATGACATGTTTTATTTTATAATTTGTTACTTCATGCATATTAAAAAAATTTAAACAATAGTATTTTCTGAATATAATGGAGTGCAAAAAATAATTTATTATTTAAGAAATCAAATTAATAAGTCCTGAATACAATGGGCTAAAAACTTGCATGACCTTCTGGCAATATATTTGACGACAGATCGCGGATATGAATTCCAAGAAAATGAGGTTGACTTTATTCACGAAAATAAAATGTTGTCGTCATCCTTCTCTTTATACAACTTCCCATATATTAAAATTCGGGATAATATAATTTTTAGTCCTTTACATTTGTTTGAATTATCAATTTAATTTTTTATTAATTTAATTTTTTAAATTTATTTTGATTATTCATTTAGTCCTTATTGTTCAAAAAAGAAGTTACATTATTAAAATTTTCCAACTTGAATAATAAAATATTGATGACAATCATATATATTAAAGAAGATGAGTTTAATTATTTAGGTATGAAAAGTAGATTCTAAAATTTTAAAAACAAGAAAATAAAACAAATTGTAAGGGATCATATTGATAAAAGCTAAATTCATTTAAGGGTTAATTTGTTCTTATTTAATTACATATAAATGCCAAATCATCAATAAATTTAAAAGTCATGATAATTTAAGAAAATATAATAGATTAAATTGATAAAAATTAAATTTAAGAGATAAAATCAATAAGTAAAATAAATTTTAAATTTTGGGGATTAAAAGTTATATCATGACTAATTTTTTTATAAATAAATCTTGACAACTCTCTCCAAATCTATAGGCAACGCGCTTGAAATGCGGTGGCTTTATTTTTGCTCTACGCTTGAACCATACTATGAGTGACGCAGCTGGCGTCGTTCAATTTATGAGAGCGTTAGGAGAAATTGCTCGCGGTGCGCGTCGGCCTTTGACTCCACCAGTCTGGCGTCGTGAGCTTTTAACTGCAAGAGACCCACCACGTGTGACATGCATGCATGGTGAATACGGAGATGTCTCTAATACTGAAGAAATGGTAACCATCGCCTTCAATGCCATGGACATGGTTCATCATTCTTTCTTCTTTGGACCTAATGAAATTGCTTCTATTCGCAATCAAATCCCTTATCATCTTCGTCAATCTTCTAATTTTGAAATCATCACTGCGTTCTTATGGCGGTGTCGTACCATAGCTCTGCAACCAAACGATGATGATAAGGTTCGTATTATCTGTGTTGTGAATGCTCGTGCCAAATTCAACCCTCCATTGCCAGAAGGTTACTACGGCAATGCCTTCGCCTTTCCGATGGCCGTGACCACCGCCGGGAAACTTCGGAGGAGCCCATTGGGATATGCTTTAGAGTTGGTGAAGAAAGTGAAAGGTATTGTGACTGATGAGTACATGCACTCTTTGGCAGATTTCATGGTGATAAATGGACGACCTCTTAGTCCTTTCAACGAGTGGGGGACGTACTCGGTGTCTGATGTGACACGTGCCGGATTTCATGGCGTTGATTTTGGGTGGGGAAAGGCTGTGTATGGCGGTCCGGCGAGAGTAGTCAAGACGGCAAGCTTTTATATACCTTTTAAGAATGATAAAGGACAAGAAGGTCTGGTGGTGCCTTTATGTTTACCTGGTGAAGCCATGGAGAGATTTGTGACGGAGTTAGATACAATGCTCAAAACAAGATTGATCACTTCTTCCTTATAATAAGTGAATTTGTTGTGATATGTGTGTGTGAGCTTAAGACCTAGTTTAATTTTAAGAGTTAAATCACGTGAAACAATAAAAAAAACTCATATATATCTAATAAGGCATGAGTGTCTCTTTAATTATAGAACTGTAATTTCTTCAATAGTCATGTTGGGTGTGGTGCTTGATTAATGTTTAAATCATTTAATTTGTAAGAGTTTACAAGCAGAAAAGAAAATCATTTGTAATTAGGAGCATGTAGCATATGTATTAAATTTTGTGCTGATTATTAGTGAAAGAAAATGGAACTGTTCAATGTAAATTTTGTCAGAGATAATTGGGATTTGATTGAGATTGTGCAATTATTGTGAATTTTTTTTCCTATAAATGTCATTGTAGGAGTCAACAAAAGCAGTCATGGACAAATTTTTAAGTAAACCAGGTGCACCACTACACCACGTTATTTATGATTTATCCCATTAGAATGCTCCAAGCTATTTAAATAAAATCTTACATGACATTCTTTTAATTAATTTTATTCTTATAATAGAATACATAATTAATTTATGGTCTTTTCTCTTTCTATTATTATTGATATTAGAATCAATTTAAATATCATGTTTTTATTAGATAAACCATAAATGAAGTAGCGTACCTAATTTACTTAAGAATTTCTCAACAGCCATGCATTAACTATATTTTATTAGGTTTACCTGGTAAGGACCATGAATCTGGATGTATGTATGCATACACAAGGTAATATACAATTTGAATTTGGCTTCACAATTATTTCTCATGGTACCAAAGCACTAGGTTCAAAAAACACTCAAATTAAACTCAAGTAGCCAAATTACTATAGAATGACAAAAGACAGAGATAGCTCGACAAAAACACAAATAGGTGGGGTGGATGTATTGTCTCCATATTGCATTCACGCATCTAACAATCCGGAGCAAGTACATGTTGGAGAACTCCTACACAAGAGCAACTTAACTATGGAGAATGGATAAATGAAATGAGCAATGCTTTGTTTGCCGAGAACAAGATTGGCTTTGTTGATAGATTCATTTTCATGCCTGTGTAGATTCGTCAAATCTGAGTTATTGGATGCGTTGTAATGCCATGGTGAAGGGATGACCGAAAAGCACAATGGACAAAGAGATCCGAAGTAGTGTACATTACGCAAAGGTGACATGAGAGATATGGACAGATCTTGAAAAATGATATGCCAAGGAGTGCACCACATTTGTACGAGTTGAGAAGAGCAATAGCGCACACCATGCAAGGCAAATACTCGGTTCCTACTTACTTCACAAAACTGAAAGGGCTCTGGGATGAATTAGATTCAATCATGCCATGGCCCAAATGCATATGTGGAAGTTGCAAGTGTGATCTTCAAAAGCAGATGACAAAGATGAAGGAAAGGGAACATCTTTGCTGGAATATTATTAAGGAATGTTATAAGTGATTAGAGTTAATCATTAGGTTTGTTAGTGATAGGTGATTAGAGTTAATCACTAGATTCGTTAGTGGCCCTAAAAGTCTATATATAGGGCATTATATTGTTAAGTTGAATAAGGGGGTTACATCCCAACTTTAAGGAGGTTAACATAGGTCCTCCTCATCTCAAAGTATTTTTGGGATTCATGGTTTTTTCTCCAAGTTGAAGTTGTATTGTTCATTATGTTGTTTAATCATCGATTCATCATATTCATCATTCTTTTATTGAGGTTTTACATTAGTTAACATGGTATCATGAACTTGGTTCAACTAATGGGCCAGAGTAGTTGTGTTTTACATTTCAAGGTTGTGACTGAATTGAAGGAAACAGGTCGCATAATCAAGAAGCTGATCCACGAAAGTCAAGAATTTAGTTTAACAGAAACCATTCTAGTACGCTGTGTTTCTTGCTTAATCCGCTGACAACTGTCACACGTTCCTGTGCAAGAATTGAGACGGTGCATTTTCTTTTGTTCACCGAGTCATGATTCTCGAATGTCCCTTGCTTGTGTTTGCTTGATCACCGCATTTGACCCCAGCAATCGCACTGTCTTCACTCGTGAAAGAAACACCAGATTCTAGCTTAGCACGTGTGAATCATCATCAAATCGTTGATGACTCACATCTCCTTGATTCTAGCTTAGCACACGTGAATCATTATCAAATCATTGATCTTTATCAACTCCCTGATTCTCGCACAACAGTTCTGGATCCTCATCAACTCTCCTCTCACCGAAGTCAACGCCAACGTGCAGCACTCAAACGGCTTCATTGTTATGTCATTGATCTCCCCCATCTATGGCCCCATCTTCAGATGTCCCACGCACTACCTATCCATCGGGAAACAATGTAAGACATCCTCTTTCTCAGTTCCTATCTTACAATTGTTTCTCTCCTATCCACAAAGCTTTTCTTTTAGCCATCGAGTCTGCATATGAGCTCAAAACCTTCTTTCAGGTGCGCCATCATTCATACTGGCAAGACGCGATGCAGCGAGAGATTATAGCACTTGAGACAAACAACACGTGTGAATCATCATCAAATCATTGATCTTTATCAACTCCCTGATTCTCGCACAACAGTTCTGGATCCTCATCAACGCTTCTCTCATCGAAGTCAACGCCAACGTGCAGCACCCAAACGGCTTCATGGTTATGTCATTGATCTCCCCCATCTATGGCCCCATCTTCAGATGTCCCACGCACTACCTATCCATCGGGAAACAATGTAAGACATCCTCTTTCTCAGTTCCTATCTTACAATTGTTTCTCTCCTATCCACAAAGCTTTTCTTTTAGCCATCGAGTCTGCATATGAGCTCAAAACCTTCTTTCAGGTGCGCCATCATTCATACTGGCAAGACGCGATGCAGCGAGAGATTATAGCACTTGAGACAAACAACACGTGGACCTTGGTGCCTCTTGCTCCAAGCAAACACGTCATTGACTCCAAGCGGGTCTATCACACCAAGTTCAAACCAAATGGCGAAGTGGCGAGTTACAACGCTCATTTGTTTGCGAGAGGTTTTACTCAGATCGAAGGAGTTGATTTCCATGACACTTTTTCACCTGTTGCGAAGCTCATTACGGTCCGTACATTGCTCATAGTTGCCGCTAAGCAAGATTGGCTAGTGCACCAGCTAGATGTCAACAATGCGTTCTTGCATGGTGATCTTGATGAAGAAATTTATATGAAGATTCCACAAGGGTTTGATCGTGAGGGGGAGACGAGAGTATGCAAGTTGAAGAAATCATTGTATGGATTATGACAGGCCTCTCAAAATTGGCACCAGAAACTTATGCAAGCATTAACGCATATAGGGTTCAAATAGAGCAAAGCAGATAATTCTCTGTTCACTTTTAGCAACTCCACATTTTATGTAGCATGTCTTGTTTATGTGGACGACATACTCTTGGCAGGAAATGAACTACAAAAGATAAAGGAGACGAAGGAGCATTTGGAGAATAAATTCGGCATAAAAGACTTGGGAAAATTAAAATATTTTCTCGAGATTGAAGTAGTGCGATCATCACATGGTTTCACTCTAAGCCAGCGTAAGTATACGTTAGACATATTGAAGGAAGAAGTACGAATGGACCGATGTCGTTCCAATGGTTTTCCAATAAAACAACACTGTAAGTTATAGGTGAATGATGATGATCCCCATGTAGATGCAATGCGCTATCGAACATTGTTGGGTAAGCTTCAATATTTAACAGTAACCCGTCATGACATAGCATATGCTATCAATCTTTTAAGTCAATTTGTAGCATCTCCAAGACAATTACACATGGTAGCTGCTGAAAGAATACTGCGGTATCTTAAGTGCACTCCAGGACATGGATTTTCGCTCACATTAAAAGGGCCATTGGAACTTGAAGATTACTGTGATGTAGACTAGGCAGGATGTCCAACAACACGAAGGTCATGTATTGGGTATCTTATCAAGGTTGGTGGAGCGCCAGTGTCATGGAAATCAAGGAAGCAAAACGTAGTATCACAATCATCTGCAGAAGCAAAATATCAAGCAATGGCATCAACGGTCAGCGAGATAATATGGCCTTGGTGGGTCATGCAAGAGTTGAAAGCACTAAAAAACAAGGTAGCACCACTATGCTGTGACAAGCAACACTGCATATGGCAATGAATCTAGTCTTCCACGAGCGAACCAAGCACGTTGAAATGGACTGTCATTTTGTAAGAGAGAGAGAGAGAGAGAGAGAGAGAGAGAGAGAGAGAATCCAATCAAGAGAAGTAGAACCATGAAAGATATGGACAAAGAATTAGTTGGTAGACATATTTACAAACGCACTTGGGAAAGAAAAAGAAAAATTGAAGTTCCTCGTGAGCAAGTTGGACATTATGGATTTACATGCTCCAACTTGGGGATCGGTTTTGGTGCTCATCAGATGAGCACCGTAGTGCTCAGCACCAAAATGCTGCCGATTGGCAGTGTTGTTTCTTTTTCTTTTTCTTTTTTTTTTTGCTTTTTTTAAATCATAAACTCATAATAATAATAATAATAAATATTATAAAATTATTATTTTAATATTTAATAAAAAATAAATATTAAGATATCAAAATTAAACCTAAATAGTTTGACTCATTAAAATTTGACTTGAATCATTCATATATAAATTTTGATCTAAACAGTTTAGGACTATATTAAAAAAATTAGAATTGAAAAAATAATTTTTATTTTCTTATTTTATTAATTTTGCTCAGTTGTCTATCTATGAAAAGTAATATTATTCAAGACATGATCAAGCATTAAATATAGATACTTTTTTTTAACAAGAATTCAAATATTGATTTGTTGTAGTGTAAGAAATTAATTTATTTTGCTAAACTCAATCTCAATTTTAAACTCTTTAAATTATTTTTTTATTTTTTTCAGTATAATTCTAAACTGTTCAAACTAAAATTTTTATTTGAGCTACTCTGATTTAATTTTAACATCTTATTATTTATTTATTTATTAAATATTAAAAAAATATTTTTATAATATTTATTTATTTATTTATTATTACAATGAGTTTGTGATTTAAAAAAACGAAAAAGAAAACAGTGTTTTTAGTGTTGAGCACCGAAACCAATTCCCTCCAACTTGAGGGAAAAGTGTGAGAGATAATTGGGATGTGATTGAGATTGTGCAATTATTGAGATTTTTTTTCCTTCTATAAGCGTGATTGTAGGAGTCAACATTTGTAGCCATGCATTAATTATATTTTATTAGGTTCATATATGGTAGGGACCATGAATCTGGTCGTACATATGCATACACACAGTAATATATGATTTGAATTTGGCTTCAAAATTATTTCTCAAATTATTTCACTTGTTCTACCCATTTTACAACAAATTTAGGCTTTTTTTTTTTTTTAGGGACGATTCTCTTATATTGAGAGTTGAGGAAAAGCAAATTGAGGTAGATTTGGGATGAACTTTTTAAATAGATTTTTTGAGAAAAATTTAAATCCCAACGACTTCTTAGTTTAAATCCTATGTGAAAAGAATGTTTGGTTTGTTGAAGGTAAAACCCAAACAGGTCTAAGGTTTTAGTGGCCCAAAACCTTAGTTTGAAGATTATCCGGACATGATGGCCTTGGTCTATGATAAAATAATTAATCATCTTTGCACATTTCATGTATGTACTATGGAGCTGAAACATCATCTTTTTTTGGCACAAACTTTATTCCCAGTGCAACTCTAAATATATATATATATATATATATATATTAACCACAATAATTTTGGACTGTTGAATAAATAGTATCGTGTGGACTTCATCTTTAGATTCTTTCTTTTTTTAAAAAAACATAATCATCAATTCCTATAGTTTTATCAAATTTTACTTTTAATTCTCATAATTTTCTCAGTATTTTCAATTCCTACAGTTTCAGTAAAATTAGATAATATTTGTTACTCAGATTTCTATAGTTTCAGTGTTTTTAGTTGAAAACACTGAAAGAAATTAAATGAACTAAAAGAAAAATTTAATAAAATTACAAGGATTAATGATTGTATTTTTTCAGAAAAGTTTAAATGAGTTCGGTCCTACAAGTTCATTAAAATCAATACATGTTTTCAAGTTTAAATAATGCTTATAAAAAATATTTACATATCATTTACTAATAACATCTTTAAATTGACAGTAAAATTTAATTTCACGCCTTGTATCTTTATTTTCATTGTACCAATTTTTTCTTTTTTTGTGGGCCCCTTATTATTAAACATTGTTCACATAAAGTTGTTAATAGTATATATACACACACACATATACATACATACACATATATATTAACTCGTTAACTACACACTTGACAATCCAAAAAAAATCTCTCAATTTGCGCCAATGTAAAAAAAAAAAAAAATGCATTGCCCATGTTATACTAAAAAAGTTCGAGAAAGAAATGGTTGCCATTTCGCAAACTAAAGATTCATGGATTAAGATATCGTTTTGTCAGCCCACGCGTACAATCAACAAACAGTGTTGTCACCAACAGTCATATTTATCTATCCTAACTAGCAATAGGATTGATTGACCATTGATTACTAATGATGGATACCTATATAGTTTGTACCAATATAGACAAATATAACATGATAATAACATTAGCTAGTCATTAATATAGATTGATAGTTTTTTTTTTTTTTTTTTTGTTTTTTTAACTAATGAATACGTGATTGGCGAGCCAACGATGCAACAGGTTTCATTCTAGAACAAAAACCTAGTTCCAATTGCTCTATATTACAGAACTTTTGGCTGCCAATTATTTCACCTTAACTACTTTTAACGACAAAAATATTCCTTAAAATAAAATTAATATGAAGTTAATGATCAACATCAATGTCAATCAGTCAATTGGGGAAATTACAATAATTTTGATACTTGAGGCCGATATTGTTCTAGTAAATAATTTAGGAGAACCAATGTCTCTCACCAAATAATTCAAGAATAAAAATATCCTTTAATCCAACACACACAAATAAAGATGTGCATCAACATATCCAACCACATCCACATCAATTCTAGGAGCTCATGGAGAATATATTTTCTGATAGACTTTGCACAAACACATTGTTATTATGGAGTTCATAATGTCAAAGTCATCATCACTTCCCAAGGCTGGTAGATATCTTGCCACAAAGGATATGGACTTGTTAACACCAGAGGCACTTATTTTTTAAGCATGCTTAAGGCTAACAATACTTAATTTTAAGGGAATGATCACGATTAAAAATTGACTAAGTTCTTTTCTTTCAAGCTTTCCAGAGTCTCCTTCAGGCTCGCTTCCAGGGGAATAAACTCAATTCCCAAGGTCCTTGCTTTTTCTTTGGAAACCTGATACACTGGCATGAAGGCCTTATCGTCCTCACAGTCACACCTAATAAGTTTATTGAGACAGCAAGAAATGCAGTGAGCAAAACTTGGAAGCAAAGCTTGAATTAAATTGGCAAAGCCAAAGTAGTTAAGAATAAGAAGTGATAGCAAACTATTTGGATAATCAAATATGATTGGATGATTATATATATAATCAAAATCCATTCGCATCAATTCCCATGATACAGGTATACATCAAGCAATTTAAATCAATCTCCGAGTCACCCACTTGTCATGTAGAGGGAAAGCATAATACAAATATAGTTCTTACGATACACAAATTTCATTTTTGTGCTTCGAGTTTATCATATAAAGAAAGATCAAAATAATGGAAACTAAATTGAATACTTCTGAGGGAAAGCTAAAGGGATATGGAATCAGCAAAATGCCAAATGAAGGCATAAATAGAACTAAAGCACAGTATCGAAACTATGTGGGCATTTTGTCACATGACACAACAACCATTATTGACATATATTAATATCATTTGTAAGATGCAAAAGCTGCAGCAAACTACACTGGACACAAGCTGTGAAGACTGCAAATCATTTTTTTTTCCGAACTCTATACAACACACATGGCCTGACATGGTCAAACGCAAAACTTTGGGCGATGAGTGATTAAGAAATTTATTTTCAAGTGTCATTCATACTAATGTAAGGATAACACAACCACGAGGCAAAAACAGAGGTGAACAAGATAATTCAAAATATGGTAGCAGAATTACAGTTTGCTTTATGCCTATATCAAAATCTTAAGAATCAATATAGACGCTTGAATGAAGTTTCTTGTTACTGAAAAGGATTTGTAGGATGAGATTTAAGCAAGTTTCTTATCTGTCGGAAAATTGGAACACTAGAAAACATACTTTGAAAGACCTACTCACATGATGCTGAACTGCAACAAAAAATCGGCATTCCAAACTTTCATAGGAGAATTTGATAATAAACACTACAAATGTACTTAAGTTTCCTCCGTGAGTAAAATTTCTGCAATCTGTACTCAGAATAAAAGAAAGGCCATACAGTCTATTGTACAAATGAAGGAGAAGATGTGAAGACAGAGAAATCTCAGCAGCATAGGCATACCAGCTTGCCTGATATTAACAATGAGATTGAGCTACATTGTTTCATTTTAGATTTAATTTTTTTTTATTTTTCAGTTTTATGATACTGTTTCTTTTTTAGGTTTCTTTTGGAGGATGTCGTGCTTTCCTATTTTGCAAACCTTTTATTTCTAAATTTAACTTCCTTTCTTATCAACATGTATGATGTGTTACTAACGTTCACCTCCCTTTAAGTATTCAAGAGTTAATAAGACCTACGTTCATCACCTCTCTGGTTCCAATTTCCCCATATTTCATAAAACCAAACTAAGGTTCCTTCTAGTTTCAAATTTTACACTAACCTCCTTAAGTTTACATTTCCAGATAATTTAACTCAACTTCCTGATATGTCAATAATATGTTTAAGTATTCGCTCGCATTTCTGGTGGTTTAGGTAAATGAGTGATTTCACAGAAGTTTGACTAGTGTTAGGGGGATCTAGTCCTTTTGACATTTGATTTATAGAGGAGGGCATATAAGGTGAAACCAAAAGGCCATCAGTGAAAGTCCGAAAAATCGCTGATGAGTTGAATGTAATTAGCTGTGTGAGCATATGAGTGTGTATGGGGCCAGCGCGCAGAGAGAGAGTTTCAGCAATTGGATATTTAATTAACTTACTTCTCTGGAAGTTGTAAAGTTGGGTATAGCTCAAGTAAAATCTTCACAACGTCAGAGTAGTGCAATGTTGTCTCAACCAAACAATACCTTCCGCTAGCTGAAGAAATCTCAAATGCTTGAATATGGGCATTTGCAACATCTTTCACATTGATCCATCCAAAAGATAAATTTGGAAATGTTTTCGCACCTACATCAAACAAGTCTGAGAATAGTTCAAGGAGAAACATAAACAATTTGTCTAGGGGGCACAAGAAATAAATTACCGCATTCAAATCAACTAACGATTGTTATTGAAGAAATTTAATGACATTATGACATGTATATCAGATTTGAAGTAGAAAACATGCAGTACTATCATTGCGTTTCTTTAAAAGATGAATATATAGTTCTCACTCAGAACTCTGCAAAAGCATCTTGTGTCCAACACGTATACAAGAAAAAATTGTGATGCTATGTCTACAATTATTATTGCATAAATTCATGTGCACATGGTTGAATGAAAACAGTCGAAGTTCATAAGCTCTTCATTATGAAAAAACTTGAAAATGAAATTCTTGAATTAACAGTCACATCTACCCAAAATCACGAAGTTGACGTCTTAACCAACTGACCCACCCCAGGTCAAGGTTAGATGATTAACTAAAAACCTAGAATGTTAGACATCTACTCCCCAACTTCAAGCAGAGTGTTAGAGATCTCACTTAAGTTTTAATATATTCATTTTAATTAGCATTGTTCCTTCCTGATTTGTATCTCTTCTGTTTTGTTTCATGTATCTTCGTTGTAATTAGTTTTTAATGTAATCTAGATTAAATTTTGAATCAACTAAGCGGGATAGATGTGTCTGTTAAATGCCTGTGCAAGAAAATTTATTCTTTTATTAAAAAAAATTATATCATAATCTTTCCTTGCCATCTTAGTTTACTGATGTCAAGTGAAAAAGGATAATAACATAGAGCATTAATGCTTTGGGTCTCTGACTTAGCATAATTGTATGAATCGTGATTCCAAAATACATATCATACAAGTCAACATTAAGTCTATAATTAAAATAATCATGCCTCCCATTTTCTTATCCCTAAAGAGAAGGTTGTTGATAGAGAACATTGCCATAGTATGATTCATGTAGCTAATCCCACCTAGTGGAATAAAATCTTCTGTTGTCGTTGTCATCCCATTTTCTTATCCCTAAGCATATACCTTGTAGCACCACATCAACATTTTGACACTAATTCTCTTTTCTATTTACTAGAGCCAGAACAAGTATTTTAGTTGCAAGATCAGGCAACACAGATGGAGATAAATGACGTAACAGAATTTATCTTTGTATTCTACAGCATGACCCTTATGAGTATATCATAATTACCATTTATAATATTCAATACTGCAGCAGAACTTTCATTAAGTGATGGTTGCAAGAGTGGCCCAATCGCCACTGTTGGGTTGAGAGCAACCATATCAATGCTGTTTTCTTTTGAAAATTTCCAGGCAGCATCTTCAGCCAAAGTCTTGGAAAGTGCATACCAGAACTGAAACCACAAAACAAAAATAGCAGGAAACTTGAAGGGCATCATAGAATATTATTTGTGATTACAGACAAGTATCATATTTGCACACGTTGGAAGTTAGAACATATATATCAGCACTATTTCTCTGCCGAAATTGTCTACAGCATATAAGTTTCAAAGAATGATCTATTATCAAATAAACTAATTAGGAAGACTGCCGAAGCAGTTTAGAAAATTTAATGGGCAATTTCTGCATCGCAGTTACAACTTCATGATCCAAATATCATGAAGAACTGACCTTTGTCATGATTGAAACAATATGTAGCCCTCTTGTGGAATAAAGTCACAACAAATAAATGAGCTGATAATTAGTTGTATATTATATTCTGAATGATTTTCAACCAAAGGGTACATCCATTTATAGGCCCACCAACAATGAGGCAATGAGGAGAAATGATATCAGCCAAATGGCAAGGAAAAAGAAAAATATATGAAAAATAACAGAGGACAAGGAAGGATGAGAACTCATGGATCTTTAGAAACTGTCCTTATCTATTTCTTATACGCAAAAAAAATATATTTTCAATGTCAGTTTGAATGTGTCCCACAGTTCAAATGCATGTAAGCAATAACTGCTCATAGAATCCACTTGTCAGATCAACAAAACATAAAATCATGCTGCTCTGATTAGCCCATGTGCTCAACTTGCAGATGGCATCTGGCAATCCCAACCCAATGCACCATTAACTACAATCACACGTGCAACATGCAATTATGCAATAAGTGCAAACTCCAATTAAATGTTAGTAAAATGAAATATAGTACATACCTTATTTTCCCTACAGATATCCGGGTTTGAAAACCAAGTCTCATCAACTACAACTTCAGGAGTCATAGGCCTTCCATTATATACAACTGCAGCCAAGGAAGAAGTCAAAATAACTCGTTTCACATATGGTGATTTTGCACATGATTTAAGAACATTGAGAGTTCCCTTGACTGCAGGGTCAATTAATTCAGTCTGAAATGAAAAATGCAACTGTTAGAATTTAGAAAAAAACGCTTTTTTTATGGGGCAACAAAATCAATATTGATATGATTGTCAGCTGTGAGAATTATTTGAATTCGTGGGAACTTAACAGGTTCAAAACCAAATCTGCAAAATCCTTTATACTAATATTTCTTAATTGATACAAATTTCCGCCCTTAACTGACAGATTTCAGAAACAGCTCAAAGCATGAAGTGCTCAAGAATTCACCACTTTCTTTGGATGGTAATCATGCTGAGAGATTCCAGATTGTACTTTGCTAACTATATATCCTGATAACAATCAAAATAAGGTGATCTTAAACGAGCCTTACAGCAAAAGGCTCAAGTTATAGTATGATCTTTGCTTCTAACAGATATTACAAAGTAAAGAGGCAAAGACCAAAGCGCAGTAGCTAGCAGGTGCAAGCATGCCATTCTTTAATTTTATCACCTTTTACAGCATGAATAGTGGGCACCGAGGCACCGAAGGGATGATGCTTTATTCTTTACCATAAGTTTAGCATAAATCTCAAGTTTGCCCCAGAAGTTAATGGAAAACACCAAAAAAAATTTGATACTTGAAGTCTCATAGTACATCGTGAACTTGTTAGATTATAAATACAAGAGAATATTTTATTTCAAAGTAGGAATAATATCACAATTTATTATCTAAAAAATGCATAGAAGATACTAAAAAAAAACGAGAAAAATTAATAGATTCTTTAAACAGATTAAAGCATTTCAAGAGAATGCCTTAAGTAGAATATAATTATATCAACCTGTGGGTCTTTGACATAGAAAGCAACAGGAGATGCAGTATGAAAGACGCCCTCACACACCTCAACAGCCTGGTCAAAGGAACCTTCTTCCAGGAGATTTGCTTTAATCAGCTGCAGTCTCTCCTTTGCCCCTTCAAGTTTAAGCAAGTGCCCTACCTTTCCTGAATCATCTACAAGGAGTCACAAACCATCACTAATTACTAAATCAAATTGATGTTGTATAGTAAATAAGAAAAAATAAAGTATAATTGATTCGTCTCACATGATAGAGAAACTTACAGAAAGCAAAATGAAATAGAACAATTTGGAAACGTATCTGACAAGAAAGGACCACAATAAATACAGGCATCCACAATCATATTATATTTAAGGAAACCTATTGCATTAGTTATTAGTATTTGCACTTGGTGAATACACGTGTGTACTTTCATACTTAAAATTATATTTTCTCCACATGGCCAAAATTTAGCTACAAAGAAATGCAATGTTCATTGCAAAAGCCAATATCAGAGCCATGGATTCCTTCCACTTGGCCCCTTTATGAAAAAAAAAAAAAAAAATCTAGTATTGTAATTGGGTGATCATATGCTCCTTTGTGGCCCAAATAAAAGCGTGGCGAGATAAGAAGGAATTATGAAAATGACTGATGTATCTAGCAATCTGTGTTGTATCTAGATTTATGTCTATTTTAGCCATTTCTCCCCATTGCTCACGGATTCATCTCCATCCAGTAGCTGGACGCAACAAACCGAAGAATTTCACGTCCGATTGCCGGCTAATGACTAGAAATCAAAACTTGGAAATCGGTTTCAACTTTCGACAGAATTTCCAATTACTCAAAGCAATAACCAAAGATCGTGGTAAAACCAAAAAAGTTTGAAATTTGAGCGCGTTTCATGTCCCGTGCTCAAATCCCTACTCCTACCTCTTGGTTAAAAATAAAAAAAAAAGAAAAGGAACAGATCATCGAAACAGAATTTGATTATGTCAGTAGTAAAGAGAGAGTACTCACTTGGGTCACGAACAGTCCCCTTGACTGTATAACCACGAAGAAGAAGAAGCTTGACGATCCATGAGGCAATAAAGCCAGTTGCACCAGTGACACACACCACCTTTCCTTTCCCACTGTTGCTTTCCATTCTTATTCGTTTTTCCTAATACACTGCTTGAACTTTGGCAAGTCCATCGATTGGTTTTTATTTTCCGGCTGCGATTTGTACCCATTGTTTACAGAAAACAAAGTCGGCATATTGTTGGCTTTAACGTATCATCTTCATCAAAGCGGCGGTTAATTGACGTGTGTGCTTTCAGCCACAGATGGAAGAAGAGACATGTGTAGCTTCAATTTCATGCATTTGAGTGGAATTTTAATTTTGTGCCATGCGTAAGAATAGAATGGGTAACAGTGTAGGCTTTTGATTCACTTTTCTTTCAAAAAACGGGGCTTGGAGTCTGTGTTCGGCGTCATGAGTGAGGGATATAAATATGTATACATAACTTGAATCTGCTCAACACTACAGCTTGGTTGAACTTTAAGAGTTGGAATCACGCTGAAATTTTATAGAACTAATCATGGAGAAAATTAAATTAAATCCGTCAAAATTCAAAATAAATTAGAAAATTGGCCGAATGGCTAATTTAGGCAGTCAATTTTAAGTAGCGTATGTTTCAACAGAGACACAGGGAAGAGGTCAGTACTCGGCGTACGGTGGAGGTGACGAGATTTGGTGCTCTCAAGTCACACAGTAGGCAGCACACGTGATGTGAAAAGCGATTTTAACGGTTTAATTTGTTTTAAAAAAATTAAATTTATAAAAAAAATAATATTTTAATCCTTCAATTTTCTACTTATTTGTAACTCAATCACTCAATTATGACTCGGTATGACTTAATTTTTTAATTTTTAACTTTTGTATGATTCAATCCCTCAATTTTTAACTTGTTTATAATTTAATCTCTCAACTTTTATTAGTTCTCTTTTTTTATATTAACTTAAATCTCACATTAAAGAATAAAAGAAGGATATTTTAGAGTATACGAGCATTTCTTTTCTCTCCTTATTTGATAAGGATAATTTTTCAAAAAAAATTTTAAAATAAGAATCAGATTATAAATAAATCAAAAGTTGAGAGATTGACTTATAATAAATTATAGTTAAGGAATTGAGTTGTAGTGAGTTATAGATAAAAGATTGAGTTATAAGTAAGTTAAAAGTTGAAAAACTAAAAAATTATTTTTTTCAATTTGTAATTTTTTATATAATTATTTTTGACAAAGTTATAGTAATAAAATTATTTTTATTTTAAATTATACACCTATTAAAATAATCATTTATTAAAAACATTAAAAAAAATTACATTAAATTTAGGTTGTTCGATTTTTTTTTTCGATCAAGAATAGCTTAAGGGTATTAGACCTTGCTATCAAACTTCAGAGCATCAGAAATACAATCCGGAGGACTCGTGAAGAACAACACATCAGACATTTGACCGATAGCTTCCCTGACTAACCTATCTGCAACCAAATTAGCCTCTCTACTGCACCATGTAAGCTTCACAGACCAATCTTTGCTTCTGATATTCTGAATCTCATCAATCAATGTTCTATCCGGGTGACTACTCGCCTCATCCTGTTACAGAAGAACCAGGACTTCTCTACAATTAGTTTCAATTTCCACGTCGACCAATGACATATCCCAAGCTCTCTTAAAAGCCCAAATTACTCCCCAAAGTTTCACACTCAGACTGGAGCCCAATCTAATATGATACATAAATCCTCCTAAGGTCTTCCCTACGTGATCTCTAGCGACACCACCACAACCAGCGATACCACTTTCAGTAATGCAAGCACCATCAATATTGAACTTTATTGTTCCTATAACAGGGGCATGCCGTAAGCTTCGATCCTCATCCATACTGTCTTGCAATAATCTCGGATTTACCCATCTGATCACTGCCAATGTCTGTGCAAGTATTGCTTGAACACTATTGCTCACCGCAAGTGCACAGGTCGTAGCAAGTAATATAAAATGAGTAGAGTATCATTCCCTCGAGGATTTGTTTAGAAAACTATATTCAAGCAAAAGATTAAGTAAATTTGATCAAGTTGAGCCACACATAGTTAGGTGAAATGGTTTTGCAAATGAAACTAACACAAGAAAATTAAGAAAGTGAGTGATTTACAAACTTCCAACACAAATTGAGACCTAAGATTAATTGTCCCCCTTGCATTTCATAACACCAAAATTATCTCATCTCATAAATGTTTTTAATGAAAATAAGTGCTAACCTAAGGTTCTAAAAATACTTAGACAAGCTCTCTCAAGTCATGAAAAAGTGTTTAGTTAAATTAATTGCTCAGTCTCTTGTTACAATTAATAAAACTCAGTTTTAAACACCAACCCTAATGTGGCTATGCAAGGCTAACAAGTATATCTCTATCTTACTAGCAAAACCATCCATTCAACATACAAATATCAAGTTCTTACACAATTTTACTCAAGTTTTACACTCAACCTAGCCCTCTCAAGCATCAATTAAGTGAACCCAACATCTAAATGGTGGCCAATCAAGTAGAAGCATTAAGGAAAGAGTAAAATAAACACATATATATCATTAATCACAAAAAGAGAGGAGAAATATAGTGTTAATCCATACAAAGGTTCCAAATAATCCTAGAACAAAGGGTTTAGCTACTCATAATCATCCACAAGCTACAAATATACAAAATAAGTGGACCCATTTCAGATTACAAGAGAGGAAAGGGAAGAGGAATAGAAAAACCAAAGAAAATGAGCTCCAAATGTCTTCAAAGCTTCAATCTCTTGATCCCAACTCTTTCAATGCCCAAACCCTAGCACAACTAAGCTCTAAAAGTGTCTAAAAGTCTGAAGAATGCATTCTGGGTCGAGCTCTTAGCTTATATGTATCCTAGCAAACTAATTTCTGATAAATGAAACGCAGCGTTTTTCTGACAGCGGTGAAAGTCGGGAACGAAAGTCACTACTTTGGGACGACTTTGGCAGTTTTACATTATTTTTACAGCTAACAAAAATCATTCATTTTGCTCTTGATTTCTTCATCCAAAAGCCTTCCAAAAACATCCACAAAGCTCCAAAAATGCTTCTAATCAAAACTTCAATCAAAATAACATAAAATTAGGCTAAAAATATCAAATTAAAGCCAAGAACACAAGTTGAAAACAAAATACACATTTTTTTAATTTGGGCAATAAAAACATATACAATTGAACCAAAATGGATTAGAATCTAAGGAAAATATGATAAAATAACATGAACTTCTAGATGTTAACAAACACCAACGGCTTTTTGTTGAAAAATCCTTATGTTTCTATTGATCTAGATTTGTCTACACAAAATAGCAAAATACACGTCCCATCTATACCTATTAACTAAAAACCTCTGTGTCATATTCCAGTCAATCCATTCAACATAATTCTCGATAGAATAGAAGGTGTTACTCCTTTCGGATGGAACTAATCTCTCCCAACAACCTGTTACCAGTCGATATTCACGTAGCACATGCAGAATGTCTTTTGGTTAATCAGTACACATGGAGCAGTTGGTGTTCGTTTGTAACCCTCTGGTGGCATGAAACATATTGGTCATAATCCTACCCCGGCAGCATAACCACAAGAAGGTCTTGTTTCTCTGGGGTATAGGAGCTTTTCATATCTTCCTCCATAAGCTTCTCCAAGTCGTGTTCCTAATGGGACATAAACCTTGGTAAGCAGATTTTGTTGTGAACTCATATTGTTAAACCATCTCCACCTTATCTCATCTTCATTAATTGTTCTACTCATGTGAAGGATCTGCCTCACCACGCTTGAAGGCAGGAGCTCTTCGAATTTGATTCTGTTCCAGCTACCAGATGCTGTAAAATACTGATCCTCCATTTCCACACATACTTCATTAGACACAGGATTAGTAGTGTAACTAATTAGAGGTTCATGGTGAGGAAACCACCAGTCCTTCTAAAAGCTAATGCGGTTTCCACATCCTAACTGTCATGCAATACTATTAGTGGTGTCATTCCAGGCACTGCATATTCCTTTCCAAGCACTAGATGCATGTCTTTGAAGCTCTACTTTATAGATCAAGTCTTCTCCACACTTGTACTTTTCACGTATAATCTTGACCCAAAGCGCATCTCTTCTTTTAATCAAGCCCCAGCCTAACTTCATCATAAAAGCCTTATTTTGTCTATGCGCCTCCCTAAGACCCATTCCTGCTTCTTCTTTCTGCTGACACATATCCTCCCACGACTAAATGCATCTTCCTATGGATGTTTGTGCTCCCTTATATGAATTGCCTACACTTTTTATCTATCTTATTACATGTGCTGGTAGGTAACATTGTTGATTGCATCGTGTAAGAAGGGATAGCAGCTACCACTGATGAGACTAACGTGTGCCTGGCAGCTAAGGATAAAGAGTTCACCTTCCAAGCTGAGAGACGCGTCTCCATCTTATGCAATACATGTTGATACGTGGCTGTTGTAGCTTTCTTATGGAGTAAAGGTACACCTAAATACTTCCCCAGGTTCGATGTCAATGTGAACTCCAAAAAACTACTAATCTCTTTTGCTTGTATCTGCTCCACATTCTTGAAGAAAAAAATCCTAGATTTAACACTATTGACTTTTTCCCTTGAGATACTACAAAAATCTTAAAGGCAAGCTTTAATCATTTCGGCTTAATCCAAACTAGCTTCAGCAAATAGCAGGAGATCATCTGCAAAGAATAAATGAGATATTCCTATCCCATTTCTTTTGAAGTGAAAGGGAAGCCAATTTCCATTCTCCACTTCTCCTTGAATTAGCTGACTAATTTCTCCATAATTAACACGAACAAGTAAGGGGATATGGGGTCTCCTTGCCTCAATCCCCTCGAAGGTATGAACTTTCCCCCCTTCTCCCCATTCCATAATACTTGCATGGAAGCAGTAGTAAAGCATTTGGATACTAGGTCCATAAACTCCTTTGGAATATTCAATTCCTCTAGACATTGTGTAACAAAGCCCCAATGAACTTTATCATAAGCTTTCTCTAAGTCAATCTTCAAAGCCATAAAGCCCTTTTTTCCTTTGCATTTGCGAAAAGAGTGAATAATTTCTTAGGTGACAATAATATTATCATACTGTGTCTTCCAGGAACAAAGCTACACTGATTAAGGGCGATTATTTGAGGCATGATAGTCTTCAATCTTGATGCCAGGACTTTAGTCACTACTTTATAGATAACATTGTACAAACTTATAGGATGGAAGTCTTTTATAGACTCTGGAGTATCAACCTTTGGAATTAATACAACATTAGTATCGTTGATTTTGCTTATTAGTTCAGGGGTATGGAAGATATGTTGCACTAAGCAGACGACCGAATCGCCTACCAAATCCCATTGATTCTGGAAGAAAAGCGGATTAAGCCCATCTAAACCTGGGGCTTTCAAAGGCCCCATAGAAAAAAGAGCTTGTTTAACTTCATTAGTAGGTACCTCCCTTCCCAGCACCTCTAATTCCCCGTTTAAGATTTTAGGGAATGTACCTTTAAAGATAATACTGTTTAGTGTAGGAGAATCCTCTGAATAAAGACAAGTGAAGTAATCAGTCCCCATACCTTTCAAAGTTGCTGTGTCATAGATCCACTCATCATCT